CTTACCAAAGGGCACTAGCGCATCGCCGTGGTTTCGAACCCGGCTCGCCGGATTACAAGACCACTGCTCTACCAACTGAGCTATCGCGCCTCCTCTGGATTCTAGGGGTCTGCAAAGCAAGACTAAACATTAGCCAATACATTAATGAGGAGCCCCTCATGTGTGAAATAGAGATCGACAGCCCCATACAAGGCCTACCATCCATGGCTCCTACAAAATCAACATTTTATGAACATGTCCTATATTTCCCATCCATCCATACCTCATTTAGACCAGAGATAAATGATGCAAAACGCATATACAGAAACGTTGTTTAATGAATCATCGTAGAACGAAATGGGCGTTTACACTGTAAAACAACATTGTATTAAGGAATGTATCAAGAAACTGGTTTTTGACGAGGTTGGTTGACGTAGGTGGTCATTCATCAATGAGTTTACACTCAAAATAAGCCCCGCCCATTTATATGGTTTTCGTTACAATACAACGTTTAAACTAGAACAGTTCCCTGATTCTTTAGCAAGGGTTTGCTTGAAACTTATTAATCAGTTATTGTATAGCTATATGGTTGTATAGCTAAACAATAAAATTTGGGAATGTGAATGGGGGAGTCATCAGTGAGTACACATTCACAATATGCCTGACTCAATTAAATACGGTTTTCGTTACGATTCAATGTTCAGACTAGAATAGGACCCTGATTCTTTATCGAGGATTTGCTTGTTAATCAGTAATCGTGTAGCTACATGTATGTGGTTTTTGTATAGCTATCCTATGAAATTTGGTAATGTGAAGGGGGAGGGGGTTTAATGTTTTAGTGCACATTTCATTTCATTGGGGTAGTCGGGAGGGGGCACAGGAGGGTTAGAATGGGGGCATTAGGTTGTAGCTGATGCAATATACATGTAGCCTCTGATAAGTCACATGATTATTTATATACAGGGCCTTACTGGCACCTTTGGATTGATCTAAAAAGAGTTCAATGGGGTTATATTGTCCCTAAGTATTCTTAAAGAGGTTAGCAGGCCTCCTAATGCACAGCCATATTGTCTAACTTTTGCTTTTGGTCTTGCTTTTGCAAGCCTTTCTGAAATATCTAATTTTTAAAGTGATTTCCTTTGTTTCTCTTACAAAATAAGCAAAGAAAATAAGACATTTACAGAAGCTCTAATGTCATATCAGCTGTCCCAGATAAAGTTGTCATCTTAATCTCAATATGTAATTACATTCAAATTTCAAGGGCATCCAACATACAAGGAAGATAAGAAAACTTCAAGGAAACACTAACAGAAGGAAACAGTTTGCAAAGAAATTAATTCATAGGCCTACGTAATTTGCATATAGCGCAAAGCCTAGGTAAACAAAGATGGAAAAGTTTTCTTTTAACACATTAAGCAACACCTATTTAGTCAGAATCTTGCCAAATTTAGTGCACAATTATAACAGATTTTGGCACAAGTCGATCATTCTTACTTTCACTTGAAATTAATTAAAAATATCTTTATTTTTATTAATTATTAATCTATATTTTTCCATTTTAAGGTAATTGTTTCTAGATGTGTTTTGTTGTTCAAGAACTCAAGACTTATGAAGTGTGGAATTGACTGATACTACCCTTTAAAGATGCTAGCAAAGAACTGCTTCCCGGTGCCTTTAAGAAGAAGATGCCCTGCTTAGAAATGGAGAGCATACCGTTTCTGTCAGTTCAACTCCATCAAGCCGATCCATTTCCAAATCCCCAATAAATGAGTATGATTTTATTTTCATCAAGAGCCCCGCGCATAGCTCCGTGTTTACTTGATTCACTCCCTCCGTTCCTGGTCTTGAAAATATAAACCCTTCAACAAAGACTAAAGAGAGAGAGAGAGGGAGAGGGAGAGATAGAGAGAGAGAAAGAGAGAGAAAAACATGTGCTGTATGGCAGACCAAATCTATACCAGCTAATACTCCATTTGTTGCCGTGGCAACTGTCAAGTTCATTTCTTTCCCGTCGTTTGTTACATGGCCAATGAATGTGTAGGCGCAAGTTAAGATTTGTCCTGGTGTGCTGTAATTCTTGCGGCTTTTGATTTTGGTGAGTGCCATCCACTTTGGGGCTGTTATGAATTGGCATGCTTCCATCTGTATGCTGTCAGGTGTTCAGCTATCCGTGTGTCTGTCACATCATATGATGCCTGTCATTCTTTTCACTTTGATGGAAAATTGTGTTTAACCCTGACAGTGCTGGGTACAGCTATACCCGCAATGGAGTCAGTTATGTTTTGGGGTTGTGAGAAGAAGAGGGTTAAAGGTAAAGACCAGTATTGGAAACGCCCCAATTTCAAAAAATGAAATGGAAGCTCTCATTACCAATCATGTGAAAGAATATGTTTTGACTAATACATGATGATAAAAAATTTGCCGGGAAACCGCCTACTAATTCATATATTTGGTAAATTTGTTTCTCTCATGGTCTGTGAGAGATATAGGGTAGTCCCATATACATCTTCCTGTGTATAGTGCTTGTAACTTTACGAAGAATGGGCCAAATTTCTTATCATTTTGATGATTCCAGAACCTTGCAGATGCTAGATGATCAACCTTTTCTGATCTATTCCACAACGTTTCTTTCACAATGCAATCGCATGACCATAACTGGTCTTTACCTTTAACAATGTTGGTGTCCAAGGCTTATTTTGTACAAGCTATAGAATCGAGGAGAAATGTAAGAAAAATAAATTGCAAACATAGAACTGAGGCGAATATCGCTTTGAGGTCAGTTGCATGAACTAGTCCCTGGAATACTAATTCCATACTACTATTCCCTGTACTACTACCCTTTAAAGGGATCCGGTAACTTTGTCTCAGATTCTGAAACAAAATTCTGGATTTAGCTCATGATGCAATGATAATTATAAACCTTTAGGTCAGTCAGGAACCCCATGACTTTTACAAGCCGATCACCTGTCTGATTATCAAGATATTTATGATTGGAATTATAAATTTTGAAAACCGTTCGCCTGACGGGGAAAACGAGTATGGTAAAACCGGTCACTCAAAGATTTTTACTTTTTTCAGGCACTTCTTGATCATTTTGAAGCGCAATTTTTGTAGGGCTTCAATATTTCACCATATCACAGACACTGATAACACGTAGGGTCGTGTATCTCAGATTTAACATTGTTAAACGATCCCTTTAAGAGAGGGTATTCTACTGAAACTACTTCAGATTTATGTGAGTCGACAGCCATGTCCAACAATGCATCACCAACTGCACAACGAGCATGTGATGATGCTGGGGTACAGGAACTGGAAATCCCTCTATGTACGCCTTCACTGAAAGATGGGGTGATGGCTCAGTGGTAGAGCAGTGGTCTCGTCAACCGGGAGGTCCTGGGTTCGAAACCAAGTCGATGCACGCGTACCCTTTGATAGGATAGATTTAACAAGGAGTTGTAGTCTACTGGGTAGATGTCCAGGTATAGTCTGCAAGCACAGACTTTAATTTGACACTTTACCACAATTCCAAAGCCTTGAGAGGAGCCCAGATATAGTATGTCAGTCTCTGGCTTTAAGTGGCTTAAGTATGTAGACGAGAGCCTATAGTAGTCTCATAGTGCAGACAATGTTACACACAACAACTGACAAATGATCTGTGCCTTAGTCCAGAAACATGACCTTTTAATTGATCAATATGTAATTCAAGTTTTCAAGTTTTTATTTGTTCCACATTTTACAAAAAATATAGACATACGTATAAAATAAAAAATTATACAATACAATTGTAGTGTAAATGGGCACGTCTCAATTCATATAATAGATTAAGTACTGTAAGTAGAATATGAGGATTCTATTAAAAAGCAGTGCTTGTATATTAATTGAAGGCTTTTGAAGGCTTTTTTTCTGACCCCCCCCCCCCTTTAATGCCCTAAACCCACAACAATGCGGTCTTTCTTTCATCTGGTCACAAAAATATTATCCAAAAAGCTTTGCATACCCTTGCTATAGTAACTTCTTGGCATACCACATACCAGGAATTTTTCATGCTGTATATGGCAAATGTAAACAGACTGACTCATACCCCAACATAGCTGATGTTATGTTTGTTTATTAAACTCATTAAAAGTTCATGAGCAAGGTAGGATGCATGTTGAAAGATGGAAGCTTTGTGTATGATGAGCTTGGCATGAAATTCCATTCCTCCCAGCTTTCCCCTTGGACCCATCTTTAAGGCCTGTTCACATTAGCCATGCGTATCCCTACTTGGCGTTCATTTAGTACGCATTGGTACTAATGTTGTTTACAGTGTCATGTGGGAACGATACCCCTTTGTATATCCCATTGAAATCATGTTCAGATTACGTAATGTGTCATTGTAATGTTCACACTTTTCAGTAGGTAATGGTCAAGGCTATTGATATTGCCTTAAGTTGATTTTGCGAAAGTAGTCCAGAGGGGTGTGTCACAAAGATCCTAAGTCGAACTTAACTCTAAGTTGGACTTAATAAACATTATGGAGAGCCATTTGTAGCCTTAAAATAAAGTATACTTAAAAGCAAAAATTCAAGTATTTCAAACTTTTCATAAATTCCACATCAAGAACATGAAATCTCCTTGATAATAGAAAATATGAATGATTTGAATCAACATTTTATGCCTTTTAAAATAACTTTTGATCCATATTTTCTAAGATGCTAACAGCTTTCCATAATTGTTAAGTCCAATTTAGAGATAAGTTCAACTTAGGATCGTTGTGAAACACCCCCCTGGCCCTGATCTTGTTATTCCCACCCCTGTCTTATGTGTTTTGAGTATAACAGTTACAAAAACATATGAAGCACTGCCAGGTTCACCTTTTACAACTATGTTGGAAACATTGATATCTTCTATTCATCTTGCAATTAAATTTGCTTTTCAATCTTGCACGCTAACAGATCACTTTTCTCCTTGTCTCGATTTGATTGAAATCCACTTTGATCATTCAACAAAGTCTCTCTCTCTCCCTCTCAATCCACTTCCAGATGAATTAGACTTTGCTGAAGAAGATTGAATCAGATGACCCCGTCATCATCCCCATCATCCCTTGCTCGCTCCTCCCTTCTTCTCCCGCTGGCTGGAGAGGCAGACCAGATAGCGGTGATGCTGCCTCCTCGGCGGCAGCGGCCCAGCATCCTCGTAACCATGGAGACCCCGCATCACCCGCCAGCCAATCCGTCAGCATCTGGGTGGCAAGGGCAGAGAAATCAAAGCCTCCCACAATGCAATTTGGTTCTGTCGTCTCCTCGGCGATGATGAGAGAATGGTATGTAGCATCATCTCTGCTCCTACCAATATCATCTTGATGTCATCATCATCCTCATCCTGTTTCTCTTGAGTTCAGAGATGCATGCAACCAATATTTCATCATGCCATCGTTGGCTCTCTAGCCCTACCAAACAGTCCAAACAATATTTTTGTATTGCTGTAATAAATTGTACATATAATGTTTCAGATGGATCATTCAGAGAGTCGAGGTAGAAATGTGAACTTTTTGTTGTACTCTGTATATTTAGTGTTATAGCTAAAAATTGACAGAATGATATGTGAAAGTTTCCTTTGTTAACTGTAATTAAAATTGTTTAAATTTGGCGAACGCAAGCATACGGCATATAAGCCGGGATACAGTATTCAGTATGCACTTATATTTTATACATGTACAAAACCGCAACTGGTTACAATACAAAGTCTAAATTCGGACTTACTTACTTACAAGTTGATAAGAATACCTGTTAATTTACATTTGAAATTCACTTATATGCAAGTGAACAAGGTCTTATATGTTAGCAGGTGTTTTTAATCCCTTTTGTTTATGTAGTTTTCCATTTTCCAAAAATAACTCTTTCATCCCAGCCTCATGAAAACTAACAAGGTTTTGTGTTGAGTTCTTGTTATTTATTGCTTTGAGTTTCTGCTCAGTTTTCTCAAGTTCATTGTTCTCAGTTAATCACAGAAGGATGTTCATCAAATGTTCTTCTTTGCATTTAAATAAGTTCCTAACTGTTGAATCCTGATTTTTCAAATGTTGAATTTGTTTCATCTGTTTATTTATCGTAGGTTTTCATAAACTGTAAAAGTGTCTCTATGAGACCGAGCTTAAGCACATTAACACTTATTTTATTGTGTAATGCAGTGCTTATAGTATATTATGGACATAAATAACTGGACTTAAAGTATACAATGTGCTTATTTTCAGCAGATTAACTCAAGATATTAGCTGTATTCACCACTTTAACGTCAGGTAGTGGATCATGTGTTGAGGTTGGGCTAATAATGTTTCCTTTTTATATTTTTGTTATCTTGAAATATTTTCTAAATTCAAATGGAATTCACTACAATCTATACCAAAATAGACATGAAGGCCATGCATATGATATGATTTGATACAATGTGACCGTACCTGACAATGCTAAGATCATCACTGCTATGTAAGGCATGCATACTTTAGTTTTTTTTCCACCAAGAAAATGTGTAAGCTTGGTTATTTGAAATTGTGGAATGTTAATTTTGATGCTTTAAGCTACTTACTACAAGAGTCCATAGCACGATACATTTTTATAACTTTGGGCTGAAATAACATTTTTTCAGGATTGAAGATAAAGTTGAGCCCTGGTCATGTGATCTTGCATTGTAAAAGTGATTGGAGAGGTTTTATCATGTAGCAGATAAGTATTGGTGGATACTACAAGGTTTTGGAATCAAACATAATGATAAGAAATTGGCCCAGTCTTGCCAAAAGTCACGTGCACTGTAGACAGCAATGTGTAAGTGGGACTACCGTAAACAAACTTGTGACATGAAAGTGTGGTCCACAAGCCTTGACTGTTACTTGTGGTGCCAAACGTCATCGCAAGGTGAAGGTGAGGAAATTTAAAGAGCCGTCCTTTTTCAGGGGACATTTTTTTCTATCATTCTCTCACATGTTTACAAAAAAAGAATGGAAAGGCTCACCTGTCCCAGAACTCAACTTTCTCTTTAAACCGATCATAAGATTGATAATAAAACTGATCATAAGATTAATAATTAAAACATTCATACTGCTGGCGCTGTTGAACGAGTCGTTCTGTGATTTCAGGATGAAATAACACATACAGTAGGATTGTTGTAAAGAAATTTCATGAAAACAAGACATCTGCAGAAAATTATCATAAAGAGTTCATATGACATGGCTGTAATTTTGTTGATGTAAATGTAAGTTAATAATTTAAATCTGTAAATCTATGTTTGCAAATAAAAAGTGCATGAAACAGAAACATTGTAAAGACACAGAGTTGGTCCTTTTTTGTTTTTCATACTTATTGAGCTAAGATAGATAAAACTTAACGAGAAAGAAAGTACCCTAAGTGAACTTTTTTTTATAAATCAGAGAACCATATGCAAAATCAATTCTCGATATTTTAATGAAATAGTTTGCAAGAATTAGAAGATGTTGTTGAGGAAACACGTTGGGGTGTTGTGATTATCATGGCAAAATGCACAAATAGTGGGTAAAGTTGAATATTCTAATGCATTCCTGTCAAAGCGACACAACTTTAAACTCCTAGAACACTATTTCTAGTCAGGTCATTGAAGCTGTATCTGTAATTAAAGGATAAAATAATTGTTTGTTTCTCTGTAACCTTATACTAAAGTCACACCAACAAGCCCGACATCACACCAATGCCAGAACGACTAAAGATTGAACAAAATAATTTGACCTTATCCCTAAAGGCCAATAATTGGTCAGTTTGAAGTCAGTGAAGAGTTGGTTTAGTGGAGTGACCAAGGTTTTACATCTCTTTACAAGGAATCTTGAAGTATTATTCTCTCCCAAAATCCGAGTTGTACCTTTATGTTATCCATTGTGGGTTGTTCAATCGCAAAAGAAACCTAATAACACCCCTGTCCTATTCCCCTCCCCTCCTTGTCCCACCCACCATCTAAGCTGAAGGCATCCACACGCATGGTTTAGCTCCGCGTTCAGACTTCCTGAAATCAACATTTCGCTATACAATAATCCTTTTGCAAAATGATGAGTAAGTAGTTGTTTCTTGTCTGAACGTCCTATACAGAAACGCTGTGTAATGAAATGTAACAAAACCCATGTGTGAGCATCATTTTGAACAAGAACTTGATACTGCATTGGGGTCCTGTGTTAGTCCAAAAATCATATTCTAGGAAAATTGTATGGTGAGGGCTTATCGTGAGCTCGCACTGACAAATAATCAATGTCAATTGATCTCTTCAAAACTTGTTTAGACGTATAACTTTTTAATTCAATGTTGTCATCTAGGCTGTTCACCCCTGATAGTATACTATGATGCTCTATACAACGTTTCTTTAAACGTTTCTTTATACAACGTTTCTTTATACAACGTTTTTTTAGACGACGTTTCTTTATACAACGTTTCTTTATACAATTTTCATTATACAATTTTCATGTATATTTCCTCTAGTCCGAATGGTCTATTAGATCCGCAGATGGGAAATCCACCGTAGGCTTCCCACAATATCCCTTGCACATGTGCGGCTAAATGGGACAGATGCTAAAAGATAGCCAGACCGATGCTGAACCCAGCCGAAGATTGACTCAAAACGTGTCAGAATTCAAAGCAGTCCGTCTGCCACAGATCTATGTTTCTCCGATCGGTATTTTAAGCTTTACAGAAAATCCCCAGCTGTGAATGTTTTAAAGGTACTGCTGTAAAACAAAAACGTTGCATGGTTGAAATTGGGTCTTGCTAGAGGAAAAGATTCATGAAAGTTTATTATTGCAAAAATGTTTTCATACAACCCCTGTATGAAACAAAATATTCCATCATCAATACCTAAGAAAATGAAAATGGAAATTACTTACACAAAGGATTTCATCATCCTACCAGGTTCCCCATTTCTCTCCTGGGTTTGGAGTGGTAAATGAAGGTTAGTGCCTTTCCAAAAGACATTAGTGCCTTGTCTGGGATTGTACCCACAGCCTTTGCATTTCAAGTCAAGTGCTAAACCTTTCGACTATGACAGCTCTAAATCTATTGTTCCTAACTATTGATACTGCCATAGCTTGAGGAGGAATTTCAAAAAAGTTATTCTTTTAGACTTTCACAACTATAATCTTGCTTCCATCAACTTTATGGACTTATTTTTCACCACAGGTATCAAGATATTAAATAGTACTCTTGATCTGGGTATGGTCTTTGCATCTCTGGGGGTGTTTCACAAAGAGCCTAAGTTGAAGTTATCTCTAAGTTGGACTTAACAATTATGGAAAGCTGTTTATAGCATGTTTGAAAATATTTCATAAAAGTTATTTTAAAAGGCACAAAATGTTGATTCAAATCATTCATATTTTCTATTATCAAGGAGATTTCATGTTCTTGATGTGGAATTTATGAAAAGTCTAAAATACTTGAATTTTTGCTTTTGAATATATGTTATTTTAAGGCTGCAAATGGCTCTCCGTGATTTTAAAGTCCAACTAAGAGTTACGTTCGACTTAGGATCTTTATGAAACACCCCTGGTCTCTCCATTCGACTACAAACTCCTCCACCACATACCATCCCTTGAAAGTCAGTTTCATTCTAGAGTTTGTGGTAATAACACTGACTTCAGAGTTCAATCCAACAAGAATGTTTTGTTTTCATCTCCATGCACCATCGTTATTTCACCTCCACTTTCTCTTTGCATCTACACACGCAACTGCGGAAAGCAGAGATCCCAAAGCATATCCAGCAAATGCAGAAGTCGTTATCTATTATTAGATCAATTACATCATTTGTCAGTTGGCATTCCTTGATTTGTGTTTTGGGGAGCAAGGGTTGGGTTCACACGACACTCTGTGAAACTTAAAGTGTACCAATCACCTGAAAAAATAACTTGTGAAACCGAAGCATATGAGGACAACTTTGGTCTATTTCAGAACGCTGACCATGTATATATAACTAATGTTAACCATGTCCATTCATTTACGTGCAGTTGTCCAAAAGAAGACTTAGATGGCATTAAACAGTATTTGCCAAGCAACACTCTCTTTAACTTTACTGTTTTGCGAGTCTGTGGTTACGACGAATGTTAATCCGGCTTGTAGTTAAAAACTTAAATCCTTTGCAATGTTCATGGATAATTGTTTAAATCCTAGAGACTCTCCCGTATGAACATAGCTAATGTAAATGGCATTCCTCCGTCTATAAACCTCAGTCTCTGGTACAGACAGTAGGGATGACGTCAATAAGATCAGCTCCCGCGGGATTGGTGTCATCATCAAGTCAAGGTCATTCATTGTGTCTGGCTGGCAATTGTGTCCTCCACACATAGGAGAGAAGTAAGAGTGGATGAAAATCAAATTGTACTCTATTAGTTTGGTAAAATTTATTTATATGTTATATTGATTTAAAATGTATGAGATATAACAAAACAAATGTAATACACTAATGAAATACAACAAAAAGAGAAAAAAGGACATCCCTTCCCCTGCCCCTCCCCCCCCCCCCCCAGAAAAAAAATTAAATGGGTGCTTGGAAATCAATTTACATAAATCCTTCAAAATAGGAGAATATAAAAGGTGAAGATCAGTGCTAGGTTAGATTTCAAACTTACACTTCCTGAAATTAAATGTTCCTTTACCTTTCTTTGGGGCAATTTTATATCTATAATAATAATACGCTAAGGCTCCGCGGGGGGCGCGACGTCTCGGCGAGCCTTTGTATTCTATTGTTTTTTAATGAGATCGCCGACCGAAGTTGGTGCGGCTATCTCCTCCTGAACCCTCCCCTCGGGGTACCCGTGCCCTGTGCCATCGTCCGCGGGAGAGTCTACTCTGTGGAATTGGCTATACTCCGCCCTAGGTCCTCCTCCGTGTCGACGTCCAGGGCGAAAACAGACGCGATATGCATAATGCAGGATATGCGTGACGACAGAGATACCTCATGGATATTCAACATGACATCCGTAGACACACGACCGATGACTGTCCACTCACATTAAGTTGCGTATTAAATGCACGACGCACAGGGTCGGGCTTACCCGAGTAAAGCATCTTTCTATAGGATATCCATTGTATAGTAGCTGCACGAGCCACAGAGATACACACGAAGCTTCCCGTCAACGTCCAAACTTAGGGACCTATTTTCCATCATTATTGCCGCGATTTTTATATAGGTGTCGTGAATGGAGGTATGAAATGAAAGCTTATTTTGTGATTATTACGGCCATGCTACTAAATTTTGATTATCATTTTCTAAAGGAAAGTTTTCACAAGAAAACCATTGGACTGACAATTCAGTCGCAAGCTGCCTTCAGTCAGTGCAGTGCTGCTGTGCAGTGTGTGTGAGCTGCAATTTAACTCCAGCAAGCTCCAACACCGGCTCCGCGCACCGCAGGCGTCCGAGGCCTGCGGCGCCGGTGTTCGAGCTTTCTGGAGTTACACTGTGTGTGTGTGTGTGTGTGAGTTCAGCTGAGCTGAGCTCGAGTCGAATAGATTTGACACTTTGAAATTGTTATCTGTTGGTTTGCATCATTATTGCCGCGATTTCAATATAGTTTCGTGAATAGATTTACGAAACCTGATCTTAGAATTAGTAAAAGTATTACTAATGTTTACGTTTTTAAACGACTGTCTGATTTTCTTGTGAAAATTTTACTTTGAAAAATGATTATCGAAATTCATGGTCAGAAATAATCACAATCTAGGGTCTATTATGTTACAGTTCTTGCATCAAATCAATGCATGAAAACTTAGTTATTGAACTAGAAAAATGTTTTTTTTTTAAATAGGCAATTATGAAGTATAGGAAGCCTGAAACCTGTCCTGAGCCTACTAAACAAATCTCAACAAAGTGTAGGCCTATCCTTTTATGAATTAATGAAAAAGTAGCCCCAGAAAAAAGAGCCCCCGAAAGTTGGAAAAAGTAGTCCCCGAAAATTTCCCAAAAATTTGAAATGGAGCCCCCGAAATGAAAAACTTAATTTTTTGCCTGCGCCCCCCTCTAGAATCCCTCGGATTTCCGCGGGTCCTGAGTTGAGTGTATATATAATATAGGCGTGGGGTCCACGGGTTTCAAGGGGCCATAAACCCCCAAAAACTCGGGGGTTACGTTCTTCAAAGTTGGGGGGGGGGGGGTGGGAGATCGAGATCAGATCGCAGCGAGTTGAGTGTATATATAATATAGGCGTGGGGTCCACGGGTTTCAAGGGTCCATAAACCCCCGAAAGCTCGGGGGTTTAGGTGTTTAATTAGGGTCAGATGAGCATATTTTTAATACTTTATTTGTGACACTTGCGGGTCACTAA